TGCCTATGTTTCATAGAATCCCCACAGTGTGGAAAAAGGCTACTTGGCCTAACAAGTCCACACCGAACCTCCAAAGAGCATCCCACCCAGAAGCATTCCCTCCCCACATCCCCCCTGCACCATCCCTGTAACCCTCCATTTCCCATGGCTAATGCACCTAACTTACACATCCCTGAACACTATGGACAATTCAGCATGGCCAATCCACCTAACTTTCACATCTTCGGACTCTGGGAGGAAACTGGAGCACCTGGCAGAAACCCACACAGACACAGTGAAAACTCCAGACAATCACCGGAGGTTGGAATCGAACCTGGGTCCCTGGGGCTGCGAAGCAACAGTACTAACCACTGAGCCACTGTGCCACCCTAAATGTTGAAGTTGTATCAGCCTCCACCACTTCCTCTGGCAGCTCATTCCATACATACACCATTCTGTGTGAAAAAGTTGTCCCTTTTAAATCTTTCCCCTCTCACTTTAAACCTATGCCCTCCAGTTTTGGACTCCCCCACCCCAGGGAAAAGACCTATCAATTTACCCTATCCTTGTCACTCATGTTCTTATAAGCCTCTATAAAGGTCACCTCTCAGCCTTCAACCCTCAAGAGAAAATAGCCCTAGCCTACTCAGCCTCTCCCTGTAGCTCAAATCCTCAACCCTGACAACATCCACGTAAATCTTTTTTAAACCTTTCAAGTTTCACAACATCCTTCGTGTAGCAAGGAGGCCAGAACTGCACGCTGTATTCCAAAAGTGGCCGAACCCATGTCCTGTACCGTTGCAACATGACCTCCCAACTCCTATACTCGATGCACTGACCAATAAAGGCAAGCATACCAAACACCTCCTTCACTATCCCATCTACCTGCAACTCTACATTTAAGGAACTGTGAACCTGCACTCCAAGGTCTTTGTTCAACAACGTCACCCAGGATCTAACCATTAAGTGTACAAGTCTTGCCCTGATTTGCCTTTCCAAAATGCAGCACCTCACATTTATCTAAATTAAATTCCATCCGCCACTCCTCACCCCAAAGGCCCATCTGATCAAGACCTTGTTGGACCTTGAGAAAAAAAAGGTCTTTTGAGATCAAGGCCAGAAATTGATTAAGTCACAGAAATGGTCATGGTGCAACAAAAGGAAGCAAAATTAATATCAATAAATAATGGATCTAAGGTCCAGAGAATATGTAAATGGTTGCAACAAAGCAGCAAAGGAGGAGGCATGGTAAGTCTGGCAACGCAGAGAAGGTTCCAATGATCCAGACACGTGATGGAAGAAAAAGGCAAGAAACATGGGGGATGGGGGCACAGCTGATAGCTTTTCGTTTCTAACAATTCACAGTTTTTCCTTTCCCAAGCCCAAGTCCAAAAACTCCCTCTACTCTATATTTTCAAAATTTACTCCAGACAGTTCTGTCTTATACATTAGTTACATTCTCTCTCAAGTCTTCAAACCTGATCAGGTCAATTTATAAAGGGCAATGGACCCAGCAATGGCACTGAATTCCTATCACTGCTGCTGTCAGTTTCACTCCTTCAATACTGACAACTCTTCATTCTGAATGTCAGCTCCAGTGTGAAGTTCCACTAACAATTTAAAACTGGAGAAGGTCCAGCAGGATAGATAAAGGGGAAAGCACATTCAAATTTACTGTGAAGCTCAGAACTAAGGCCGAGAGACAGTTGTTATTTAATTTCTATAATGCTAGAGATCAGGTTTAGTTATTGGATTTTCAGGTTTCCGTTTATATGACTATAAATGATGAATTGTACACACACACACACACACACACACACACACACACACACTTATAATAAACATCGTATTACATTGTTTCTGTAAGTTAGCTGCACTACTTGGATAGTTATTGCAGCAATAAGTTCTCGACAACTGTACACAAATTAACAAATTCCATGAGGCCCTGATAATGGCTGCCAAATGAAGTAATTTCTGTGAGGAGTTCTATATACTCCATCCATCTTGGTCCTCATGTTAATCACAAAATGTTTGACAATTCATCCATAATATTCGCAAATTAACTTTTAAAATATCAGATATCTATAAATGTCCATTACAATAAAAACTGCTCATCCACTGGACCTAATGGATCCACAAATAAGACTCACAGACGATGTCTGCTGAGTTCCTTTTGGCATGTTAATTAATGCTAGAAACCAAATTAATATTTGTTGGGAAGGGAAACTATGACAAAACAGTCTGAATAGACGACCAGATTACTTTGTATTGAACATTCTTCATACTTCAGTTTCATTGCTTTTTTTTGATCATCAGCGCCACAGCTCTGACATTTTAGCAGGCATAATGTATTCCTCAAACTGCAAACATAAAATTAAATATGAAAAAAGTGAACATAAAAAAGACTGTAAAATTGTGTTTATAGGGCAATTGATGTTACAAATAAACAAGTTCCCATTCTGCCCAAAAAGGAAATCCCGACTCTTGAAGGGTCAACCTTTGGTCTCCAGTAAGAACAGTATCTAAGATGTGTCATTGTGATGCTCCAACATTCTCATCATTGTATTCTTTATTCAACTCACTGAAACTCACAAAATTCCTAAAAGGCATGTCAGGTAGATGTAGAAAGAACTCTTCCTCCATTGTAGGGCTCCAGAACAAACAAACATAGCATCAGAAAAAGGGAAAAGTCATTGAGGAGTCTGATAAAGAGGAATTTCTGCAATCAGGAGGCAGTGAATTTTAGGAATTTGTTACCCCACAGGACTGTAGAAGTCACGGAGTACACTCAAGATAGAGACGAATAGATTTCTAGATAGTAATAACATCAAGCACAGAAAAATGGCATTGAGATCTGTGATCAACCATAATCTAGAATGGCGAAGCAGCATCAAAGAACTAAATGGACAACTCCTGCTCTTATGTTCACATTTAAAATGTGATCATGGAAATACGTAAAAGATCTCAAACTCATCTTTTTGGAGCTACTTGAAAGTACACCATTATACATTAGAAGATAGACAGAAACAGGAGACATCTAGGTCATCAGTGTGGCCAAGCTCCCAAATCTTTCTGGTTAACCATTGAGCAAAAGTCTTGTGTTGTAGTGTCCATATCTATTTATGCAAATTGTGTACATAGACTGTCATACAGCTTGCACATGCAGAAAGCATTTCCAGCATAAACTGGTATAAATGAAACAAGAAAAAGAGTTTCACAATAGTTTTTTTTTGCTGTATGGCAATAAACAATAATTGTCGACAAAAATCTGTTCCGGTTCGTTACTTTTCAAATTGCTGACCTTCTCACTGTGAATTCAAAATCATCTTGCATAAATATCAATTTACAGATTAAGCAGTACATGCCTTTATTCTCACAAGGTTCATGGAAAAGTCTGTTGCACTTAATTATTTAAAAGGGATACTGAAACCTAAATATATTCATTTACCAAATATGAGCCATGTTTCAGTGGGTAGCTTCACAAGGTTCAGAGTTCAAGTTCTATCCCAGGACTTCAGTACAAAATCTATACTGACATATTGTAGTACTGTAGGCATATTGCAGTCTGAGGTAGTGTCCTCTCAAAAGAGAAGCTTAACAGGGACTCCATCTGCCTTCTTGGCTGGAAGCAATAGAGTCCCTTTTACTATTCAACAAAAGCAGAGAGATGCTTTCGCTGGTATTCTGCCCAATATTTATTCCCCAATCAACATGCCAATCAAAATGTATCTGAAGATTTTTCCAGAAGATTTGTAGCTCAGGTTGTGGATGAGGTTGGAGACTTGCCCGCCAAGCCAATGTGTATGATTGCAGATGTTTCGTCACCACGTCTCCGGTAAAGCATCGGCGTTCTGTCCCACTTGTTATTTATGCGCCTCGTTATGCGCTCTCAGTGGTTTGTACACAGGGTCCAGTTCAATGTGTTTGTTGATGGAGTTCCAGTCGGAACGCCAGGCCTCCAGAAATTCCCTGGCATGTCTCTCTTTGGCCAAACAGAGACATGCCAGGGAATTCCTGGAGGCCTGGCATTCCAACCGGAACTCCATCAACAAACACATTGAACTGAACCCTGTGTACAAACCACAGAATCAGGACCGGAAGTAATGCCAAGCACCCCAGCAAACCGAAGCATATAAATAACAAGCAGGACAGAACACCAACGCTTCACCAGCAGCGCACTAACGATATTACCTAGCAGGGTGACAAAACGTCTGCAATAAAACACATTGGCTCGGCGAGCAAGTCTACAACTCAAAATCTATCTAACCATTATCATATTACTAATTGTGGGAGTTTACTGTCCACATCTTGGCTGTAATTTTTCCAACATTACAACAGCAACTACACTTCAAAATTATTTCACTGGCTATAAAACCCTTGAGGGTGTTCATTAAAAGCACAACGTAAATTCTGTCATATAAGCATGCAATGTCAACCACTGCCAAAATGTGGTTGGATATAGCTGTCACCATTTTTATTTTCTACACAGCCTATTTGGTGTAAAGTGGAAGAGGA